AGTTTCTATTCAAGGCGACGAACCTGCAGGTGAAAGCCGCGTGATGTATTCTCGCGACAAGCAGGCAGCATCCCCCGGTCTTTGGCTGCATGTCCAGGGCTTCTCCTTGCAGATTCTGGCTACGGCGCAGCTGAAAAGATGCACACTCGGTGCAGACACAGAAGGAGTACATGGGGGACAGGTTTGGGTGAAAACCATAGACTGAGCCAGTGCGCGAAGACCTCTCTCTTGCAGTCCTACGTACATGATGCACTCATAATGCACACAAAACCAACAGAGGTAGCTCCAACGTTTTCTGTGTTCTTGCTGATGACAGGTGCAGAAGGCTTGAAGCTGTTGAAACCAGTGGAGTGCCGCTGAAGTGCGGTGAGCTTTCGCGGCTGGTAGAGCAGTCCCTCGACCCTGACCATCCATGGGCTCTAAATCCAAAGCTCTGAACCTCTCAACCCTCAACCAACATGGTATTCCGGACTCCTTATCAGGCGAAGGAAAAGAGGTGATAAAAAAAGGAACCTCTCAACCCTAAACCGCTTCATCCCTGGCAGGCAGGCGGCGAGATCCTTGGTAGCCTAGGCCGGCTAGTCGGATGACCTTCCTGTTCTCCCTGATTCTTGCCCCCGTGGGCGTAGTAGTTATAAAAGGGCTCCTCAGAATAAGTGTACCCCTTATGGTAGATGGCGGGCGCATAGAGCGCCCTGTTAAATCAGGCGGTTTTGCAGTCCGCACCCTTACAGTATCCCCTCAAAAAACCCTTAAACACTTCGACGAGGCATCCTCGAGGTGCCTTTGGCCCCTTTGCTCTCTCGGCCAGAGTCGGCCCCCAGAGTGCCGGCACTACGCACCTCTGCCGCGCGAGGCGACAATGCCCCTCGGACAAAGGGATACAGCTGTTTGTTTAAGGGTTTAGGGTTTAGATTTTGAGGGTTTGGGGTGGTTTCGGGTTGCCTATAAGGGTTTACGGTTAGAGGCTTTGGGGTAGTTTGGGGTTTGAACTGGATCCGAGAGTGCCCGGTCCAATCCAAGAGCAGGCCTTCTTGCTGCTGTGGTGTCGTCTGACGTTCTTTAGCCAGGAATGGGGAGTGTTGAGATTTCTGAGTTTGAGCACTGCGAATTTGCAACCTCCTGAGGATTGGTACGGGAGTTCGACCAGCGGCACTCCGCGGAAGGAGCTTAGCTTTCCACAGCCTGGATGCTCGCTTTCATGCTTGTGAGGGGTGCCGTACCGTTTGCTCCAGGAGGACGAGGGAGCAAAGAATGCAAATTGGTCTGCAATTAGTAGAGAAAGGCTGCCGTCGCAAGCTTGGCCTAAGAGCATATCATGCCTCGCCGCTGAGGCTGTCCCCCCTGCTTCTGAGAGTTCTGCCGAGGCAACGCCCAAGTTTACAGTATGTTCACTTTGAGTTCGCCTCTTAGAGGATCTGCACTTCCCCAGCGGCCACAACTCACCACGCCGGCTTCCAAGAATCTGCATCGGACGATTGCAAAGTCCAGGGATGTATTCATTATTTGTGCTGACACGCTTAGGTGGAGAAGACAAGCCGGACCCAGTGCCCAGGCCCATGGGAAGAGGGATCTTCTGTAGCGGGCTGCAGTGCCTTCACACTCCGCGATCCCACAAAAAGGGAAAGCCCGGCAGCTGCCAGGAGTCCTACAGCAGTTCTTGAGTCTTTAAACGTCGAAAAAACTTACTATAACTATTGCTATAACTAGTACTATTACTATTGCTATAGCCATTACTGTTACTATTACTACTATTACTATGACTATTGCTATAACGGCAACTCACCCAAGAAGCCTGACACAGCTGCAGAGGCCCATTCTTTCCGAGGCCTGGGCCGTCCGTGCTGTTTGAGCCAGATGGAGACTCTAAAACAGGGGCCTTAATACTTACTAATGGTAGTAGTGATAATAATGTTAGTAATATAGGGGCCTTAATACGTAATAATACTAATAATAGTAATAATGAGAAAAATATAGGGGCCTTAATACTTAGAACAGGGTCTGGGGATGTCTGGGGGGCATACTATACTACAATTAGAATAAATAACACCGAAGTAGTAATGCATGGTAGCTATTTCGGTGAGACACAGGGCAGGTTAGATTGGGTTTGATGCTATAGCATGGCCTTCTCTGACAGTTGGCCAGGTAGCCGAAAACACCACGGCGAGCGACGCCGTGCCAGAAATGGACAGGCTGCCGATCAGGACTCACTTCAAGCGCCGGAGCTTTGTAAAGCGCAACTTTGGGTGTTCGCAGAGTAATCGCACAGAATACAGAACTGTCACAAGCACTGGGGCAGAGTTGATGCAGGGCCTCGACACTGTCAAGACACTGAAACGGAGCAGATATGCCCGGATATGCCCTACGAACCTCTGAAGCCCAACCGCCTCATCGATGTCGAAACTCGTGATCCGCTCATTGTCATGACCCCGGCAAGGACTGCTGAGCAAGAAGCAGAGGACACTGAGGAGGCTGACCTGGATGTCCGAGCCTTCTCCGAGCAAGGCGGCCTAGGCCTAGTCTGCTCGGACCGAGTTTTGCGGTCCGAAAAAAACCAAGGCGATGATCCCTTTCAGTGCCCGTGAGAAGGTGCAGAGGCGCGGCCCCTGAGGTTCTTCCAACTCTGCTCCTGCTGGAAGTTGGGCATCCCCCGAAGTGCGGCATTGAGACTAATGTAGGAACCTGATTAAGAAACCCTGGGTCCTTATTAGGGTTCTTTATATGAATCCTATTATTTTGGGGGGTTATAGGGCCAGGGTTTCTTAATCAGGTTCCTACATTAACTACGCTGAACTAGGATTCTCTGATCTTGTGCCAGGCAGATCTCGCCTCATCTCCAGGTGGTCGAGCAGCCGCAGGCAATTCAGCCCACGTGAAAACATGCCTGAGCGTGTACAGCCATGCGTGCTTCCATACATATAGTTTTGTGATATATGATGGTACATGGCAACAAGAACGTTAAGCACAACACCTACTCCTACTACTATTATACTACTACTACTACTACTACTACTACTACTACTACTACTACTACTACTATACTACTACTCCTGCTGCTGCTACTACTACTGAATAGTAGAATAGTAGTGTATAGTGTAGTTATATAGTATACA